GTGTATACTACATCATTGAAGTAGGCATGAAGGAGTTCAAGATCTTTCAACAAGTAACTGAAAACATCACCAAGTGGCCTGGAGAGCTCCAGCTTGCCTCGGGCAGCCTTGCACGCTGCCAGTCCCATAAAGCATCACAGGGGCAGGAGGAAAATAAATAAACCCATAAAGCATCACAGGGGCAGGAGGAAAGGGAGGGGCGTGTCAAATAAATAAAGCACGTAATTAACAGTATTTGCCTACCTATTTCTTTACTGCAGTACTTTTTCGATTGACAAAACAAGGACAGCAGTGTCCCATACAGAAGGTATACGCTACTTTCCATAGCAAATGGTTCTTCCTGCTACAGAGACTTCCTTACATTCAGCTAAATGCTCTTTAAGTCTTTACATTACTAATGCCCTCCGCATCATAAACCGTACCTGCTGGTAATAGACACACCCTTTAAATACATTTAAGAAAGTAGGAAGCAGAGCTTTTCAGAAAGCGATCTACAAGCCGTTGAGGATGATAAATTGCAGCAATAAAAGCTTGGCTCTAGTATCAAATTAGATTCTTACTTATACACCAAATATAGTGCTCGGAGAACATGCCTCAGAACATGGACGGTTTCCCAAAATGCTGATCAGTGCTTTTGAAAACCAATGCTTTATGAATGACTAAAGCAAATCTAGTCATACAACCTAAGAAATCACAGCAGAGCATTTAAAAAAAAAAAAAAAAAAAAAAGGCTAACTAAACAGTTTAAGACAATCTTCAATCCTTTTAACACAATCAAAAGAACAATCTGTTAATGATAATAGGAAAAAGGCGAAGAAGTTAAAAAAGGAGAAACTTAACTAAATTTTAATGGGGGAGGAGTCACTTTAGCACTTCATAAAAGGCTGTCTTTTATTTTAACCCCCACGCAAAACAGACTGATGATATGGACGTGGCCAACGAGAAATACTCGGCAACTTCCCAACAGAAAACCTCAAAGCATATATGTAAGATCACACTTACACTTTGATTAATAGGTAGAAGGGGGGCTGAATTCAGGAAATAACAGAACAATCATTAGAGGCAAGAAATAACACAGCGAACAACAGGAAGAAGAAATGGACAGGAGGCAGTAATGAATAATCTAACAGCTTTCCAAAAATACACTGCATTATCTCATCAACAAGTATTTCTTACACATCCCCCATATTTAATACCATCTTGTATGCGCTGTGTATGACTATCTTCAGCAAAATTGGCTTACATTTTGCAAAGTATCATATCAGGAAAATCCAGCTGTCTGAAGCACCTGAGGGGAAACAGTAGCTCCTACATAGACAGAACATGTCTTTTAAAATTGTTTAAGCTTGTGCATTTGACAGTTGAGTCCACAGTCAGTTTAGCTGTTCTATGGTGAATTTAAACATACAGGTTTTTCCTCTTTCCCACTCACACTGCAGCAAGAAACTTTAAGAATAGCTGTCAACCACAGAAGTTAATAATAGGACATTACAGACACTTGATTTTTTGTAAAAGTTACACTTCAGCATTAGAAAAAAACAGTATTTTGTTGCCACAAAGTATAACAAGTAAAAGACATAGTAATGCCATTTTAATTCCTAAATCTAAAACACTCAGCAAGTCCCTAAAACAATTACTCCGTTCAAGCAAAACCAGGACTGTGCTAGTGAGGTTGCTAAAAACACAATTAAAATACCAGCTAGCAAAACAAAATATGGGTTATTTTATTAAGGTCAACATAGGAAACCCACCCAATCATTATTTGGGTTGAAATGATTTCTATATAAAAAAACCCCAATGTCTCAATTTTTAGCAAAAGAGGAATTTACCAAAGCTTACTTAAGCTCATTTATCATCTTTGTCATAAAGAAAGGAATTAGACTTGTGATAAAGACAACAAATCCAGGCATTATGAGTTCTTATCTGAAAAATGTTCTTCTTCACTGAGGGAGGGATTAAGATTTCGCATGTCAGGAGTGCTCATATCTCTAGGACACAAGCAATTAACTCTGGAGGTAAACTACCAAATTTAAAGATGAAGTGCAACGATACACAACCAAAAAAACCGAAGTATGTGGAAAAGAAGCAAACTTCAAATAAAACTCAACTGAAATACGGGTAGAATCACAGGAGGTATTTAAGAATAACAAAAGGAATTGATTCCTGCCAAGGAACAGCTGTGAACTGGAGAAGGAAGAGAGGAGGGGGTGAACAAGATAGAAGTGTCTTCACAAAAAAACACAGAAGCAAAGTTGGGACAAGAAGCTAAGGTCGCAGTTGGATTTCAAGATGAATGGGAAAAGACAGAACAAAGGAAGAAAGACCATTTACATTTGCAAGTTATATCGGAGCGACCAAAGTCAACGTTTTGAACGGCAAGGCCTAATGGACCAAAAAGCTGCACCTTATCCTTAGCTTTCTTCTGAAGAAAAACAGAAAAAATGCAAGAGCAGAGTGAATGAATTCACTTCCAAGCACTGCTTTTAAAAGTTTCACAATATATTTGCAAGGAAACAAACACTGTTACCTTCAGGAATTCACAGTGGGGGACGGTCTTTTTATTAACATAAAATTACCATCTCATACGTATGAATTTACTGTCTGCTGACTCAGGCTACATATTTGAAATGGGAAGCAAAGACTTGAATTAAACAGAACACGTCTGAGATGCACAACACATTTTACTACACTGCAGAAAACTGGGTATCAGGTCCTGGAAGGCATACACCTACTAAGCTACCTAAGAAGTAATTTCAAACTTATTATCTAAAAACCATTTAAGCTGCACGGATACATGCCTCTCCAGACAACCAATCCCCAGCTCCCATTCCCTTCCTTCAAATCCCTTCCCCAAAATATTGACCGAGGCAGCAGTGCCCTGGGAAAGCATCTGACACGTCCACATGCAGACTAACCACCTCGCCGGCTCTGGGAAATTATTTGAAAAATTGTGAAATTAACTTTGTGGTTACTTCTTTATGATCTGCTTTAAACTGATCCAGAAGAGCTGCACACACATGGTTTTAGAAAACCTGGTCAGAATGTACTATAACTCTGGAGGGAAATTTATAGCACCCTGCTCAATTTTAAAATTCAGTGTATTTTCTTCCAGCAGAGGTAAATGTAACAAACGTCTTCCTCTGGAACAGAGCCCCCTGAAAACTTCAAGAAAAAGAATTTTCTTCCCCTTAGTTATCTCGTAGAGACTCCAAAAAGGACTTTTCCAGTTTTTCCTCCCAAACGCTTTCAGCTTCATTCACCTATGTTGACCTTCCTACGGTACAGCATGGTCCTTCACACCAGTACAAATACGTCCACCACAACCTCTCTTCAGCAACGTTCACATATCATGCAGCAGGTGAAGTTACAATACTGACAGCCGACATTACGCTAGTGCCACAGAAGTACTATGGAAGTGAAAGGAAAGGAAATGCCATGTTTAAAAAAGCAACACACACAGAGATGACAAAGCAAAGCACTGGATCATGATAATCCCACATCATGGAATTTACAGGCTAGAAAAATTTTTGAAAGTCTGTGAAAAGCAATAAAGCTATACTCAGTTATAGCTGAAGACAGATTCTACTGCATTTGAATATATAACCCACAATCTCCCTCTCTGTGGAAAAAAAAAAAAAAAAGACAAAAACCAAACAGCAAGTTCATTGTAGCTCAACTCTAATAGGAAGTGGCTTAGTTTACAAATGCTAAAAGCATCGCAAACCATATCCTGCCCTTTAGGTTCATTTGTGAGTCAAAGGCTTATTGATAGCTTTGGCTGCACTATCTTTCTTATTGCTTACTGTGGAAGACTTAAAGTGGCATAATTAAATGCAGCTATTTACTTCTCTAAGAAAAACAAGCAGCTTCATTCTGTCAGCCTTGGGCACGAAAACCTATTACCACACTTGCAACTCTTCAGCCACCCCTCGGTGGACAAATGCTTCTAATACTTTACCCTTTTTCAAAAAAGATAAAAAAAGACTACATATCTCTTAGGACACGTACAACGTAAGATGCAACTGTGACCCCCGGGCTGTCCTTACCATGGTTGTCTGTTACCAGGAAGAGGTCCTAAATCCAAAGACTTGACAGAAAATTATCAAATGCTTTTGACATCTTTTCAAGATTAAAAACCAAGACACTTTACACCATGCACAAATCCTCCCCTCCAAGTGATCCTTGTTCCACCACTATTCCCGTCTGACAAATGTAAATAGCTAATTGCATAGGTTCACTTACATCGCAAACACAAAGAGAGAAGGACAAACAAGGGAAAACAATTGTGGCAGAAAAGCAAACAATTAGGAA